GCGTTGAAGCGGAACAAATCATCTTATCTGATTGAATTAGTCTTGAATTCGAAGATGACAGCACCAGAATTTGTTTTATGATGGTTCGGTGTGTGTTAGTCTCTCTCTCTCTCTCTCTGTTTCTCTCTTTGAATTCTATTCGTTCGTCGTTCGTTCGTTCGTCCGACACAACCATATTGGCCATAGCTATGTTAAGCTTCAAGCCTTGTTGTTGTTTTTGAGAGAAGAAAACAAGACGAAGGATGAAAATCAAAAATAGAATTGGTATAATATGGAATTTGAACCTTCTATCAGAAGGCAATTTCTGATACTGAAAGGTATAAGTTGAGTCTGTTGTAATCGAAAGGTACTAATTGGGGGGAAAAGCTTCGGCACTTGGCTTGCCAACGAGAAAAAATGCCTTTTGCGAGCAAAAACAACTATTAGATTCATATACACAGACTAAAGAGAACAAGCACAGAATGATTTTCAAACAGGCACACACACATACACAGACACAGAGGAGGAAAGTGAATGAGTGGGTGATGGGACAAAAAAAGGTAAATATTATGGAAACATGTGAGAGTACATGATAGTACAATATGTAGCAGGTCGCTCGTCTCTGCAGATGCTTTTAACTAATTTTTTTTTTGCTTCTATAAGTAGATCGAGTTGAAATGACATTATTTTGTGAATGATATGCTTTGAGATGACGTTTGTGGAGCACGATATGCTGATCGTCGACCTGAGCTATTTATGCCATGTTGAGCTGTTGGCAACGTCTCAAAAAAGGTTTATATGAACTATAAAAATGTTGGCAGAAAATAAGCTCATTCTGTCCATGTTGTATCTTTCTCTCTCTTTCTCTCAATCTCTCATTCTCATATTCTCTCTATGCCTTGTTTGGAGCAGTAGAAGTAGTTCCGGTTTAATTGTAGATGACACGAATGATAAAGAAAAATGATACGTAAGGATTAAAGAAGAGGAAAAAAAAATGGAAGGAAGAAAAGTAATAGAGAGTGAGAGAGAGACGGCAGGACGTTAAGAAATGAAATGAACGGAAGAAAGGAGAGAAGGAGACTGAGAAAGATCAACCGTTCAACGCGAGTGCAGAGAGATAAACTAAAAAAATGGAATAACAATCTGCGTAGGAAAATTGGTGTTACGTGAGTTTTCACGTGAGCTTTTTCTCGCCGGCTTTCTAGTGCTAAATGGTCATATTTGAAAAGAATGGAGATTATTGAAGGAATGAGGGGGATTAATAGTTAAACGAGATGATTTCTTTCTTCTTAGCCTTCAAGTCTATGAGAGACCATGAATTGCTTCATCCTACGAACATGCTGCTGATGGACGAGGCGCAAAGTATCTCGTTGAGATGATGGCAGCGAAGGTTAAGAAACACAAAGCCAATACATTATCAGAATGAAGGTTTTATCAGAGTGGGAGAGAGGGAGAGAGCGAAATGGAAACGAATGATCTGTAGAACCAAAAAGAGTTCTTTTTGGCTGCGAAAGTGCAAGCTCATCAAGGTTTCATGTTCACCTGATCTCTCTCTGACAAAAGCCAACACAAAGTCTGAAAGAGCTTTGACTGCAAAGACGAAAAAAAAGATTTTTTTTGTCAAAAATTCAATAATTTACTTTTTTTGTCGTTTTCTTACACAATAATATGGAAACATTCAAGAAAATTGATATGATGTGAAGAGAAAAAAAGAAAAAAAATAGAATTGATGGCATAAACAACAACGGAAAGAAACGATGAAGAGGACTACTGCTGCTGCTACTACTGCTTGCTTGCCTGCCTGCCCCACCAGCACTACTCGGAATAGAGAATAAGCCAAACGACATACGAGAATAAGAGAATGAGAATGAAAAAGTCTCGTTTGAGAGAGAAAAAGAGAAGGCTAGAGAGAGAGTGAATGAGGCATAGAGGGCAATCGCCCGTCAGACTGACTGACGACGTCGTCGTCAGCACCATCTGAGAGAGGAAAGAGAAAGGCTAAGTGCAATTGCACTTTTTGTCGCCAATAAGCGACATGAAAGCACAGACAGAGAGAGAGATGGGGAGAGTCAGTAGATGGACACAGAGAGAGAGAGCTTCTAACCATACAACATCATATATTTCTTATATCATCATCCACTATCTCCCTCTCTCTATGATAGTCTGTCCCTCTCTCTCTCTCTCTTCATCACTTCCTTTCACTCTTTTTTTTGCTTGTAGTTGATGAATCTCTTCCTGTTATCACTTTCAACAAGGGAAAAGCTTACGAATGTGCATCTTGTAGCTGTTGAGAGTAAGAAAAGTAGAAAAAAAGAAGAAAGAATGTAACTGTGTAGACAAAATATGAACTAAAGGAGTGTAAAGATTGTCTACCAAATACTAGGTTGAAATGTTTTTTTTTACTTTTTTGTTCTTTCTCTTTCTCAAACTTTGCTCCGTTTAGTATTTTTCCAAAACATACGTTCATTCCTCTTCCTGTTTTGCACCCTCCACTCTGTCTCCTCCTCTTTGTATATACTTGTCTCTCGTCTCTCTCTAACTCCTAGGTTTTTTTTTATTTTTTTGCACACAAGAGAGCACAACTACATAAAAGTGGAAGAAAGAGAGAGAGAGAGGGGTTGAGAGTGTAAAAGGATGAAGACGAAGTATGAGAGAAGGAAAGAGAGATACATGAAGTAGAAGAAGGGTGTGACGTGAAAGGAAAGTTCAGTTTTGGAATGTTTTTATTCAAATTCAGATGATTAAGCTATTGAAAGGAATAGATGATGATCATGTGATGTGAAGGGACGAAAAAAAAAGAAAAAATAGTTTGTCCTTTCTCAGTTCTACAGATGATAAGACAGAAAAAGAAAATGAGACTGACTGACAGACTGACTGACTGACTGACTGACTGACTGAATGGACTGAGAGAATGAGAGAGAGAGAATGAAGTTGTTTGGAAAGTTTAAACGAGGAGTGAAGTTGGCGGAAAGTAGGAAGAAGTCAAATTGACCATAATTAACATAGTTTACTTAATAGTAATATTAACTAAATTAATTATATGAGAGAAAGAGAGAGAACATTGGGCTGAAATCATCATGAGAAACGTTCTTCTTCCTTCTTCGTCTTCATGCCTGTCGCTCATTGCCTTCCTCCTTCCCTCCCTCCCACCTACCCTTCTGCTTCCATCCAACCCTCCCTATCCTTTCTTCACAGAGTTTGTGAAAGAAAAAAGAAATTTTTGCACAAAAACGGCAGTTGATTGATGGTTTTGAAGGAGAAAAGTGACTTTTGGAAGCTAAAAAGTTAAAGTTTAATTCAATTAAAATGATGTTTTGAAGTGTTTTTTGGGGGGAAAAAGCAACATGTTGTAAGGAGAGTGTTGTCGTTTAATCGAATCTGTTTCCTAAGAAATCACATGAAATCAGCTGCTTGATTAGCGTGGGCATTGACTAGACTGGGTGTGTATGTATGTATGTGCTGTGTGTGTGTGTGTGTTGCGTGTGTGTGTGTGTGTCTACAACTGAATGACTTAACATGCTCTTTCCACACACGTTGTTCATTCAGACAAAAAACACGCATGGAAGGTCTTTGTGTTGCATGTGTGTTGCATGTTGTAAGCTCTTAATAGGGTTCTTGTTAAGAGGTTGAAAAAGGAGAGTGGAAGTTGTAGAAACTTTCCTTATATGTACTTTCGTTATAAGCGGAAGTGAGCTTGCTAATTGAAGAAAGTGCTGTGAAGCATGTGAGACTTAACTAAAGATTAAATTGAGAAAGATGCTTAATGGTCGAGATTTGAGGGAAACTCTCATGTTAAGAACTCTCAAATCTCTAAATCGTAATAGATTTCTTTTTATATATTCATCTTCTCAATGTAATTACATGAAAGGCACATTTCGTGCATTGTTGAAACAGAGTAGTGATAGAGAGATTATGAGAGAGAGAGAAAGAGAGAGAGAGTTTCAAAAAACGATGTCAAAGTCTGGAAAGTGCTTGTGTACTGATAAGAGAGGACTGCTGCGATGAGATAGGAAAGTGAGCGAGTGCGAGAGAGAGAATAGCTGCTGAGTATCTATTCTCTCGACCTCTACCTATTGCTTCTACTCTACCTTGTTCTCTTGCTCTCTTTCTCTCTATACTCACCTTGAGAATGTTTTTTTTTGGCATTTCGCCTTTTGAACAAGACAGCAAAAGGAGAGATAGAGAGAGAGAGAGGTTAAGAGAGAGAGAGAGACAGACAGTTTGTTCTCCTTCTGTGTTCAATTGAATTGTGGTTAATAATCCATTTTCGGATGATAACGAACGTCCTGACCTTAAAAATTTGAAGAATTAATAACGAAGAGATTGAATTAAGAAAGTGGGAATAGACGTATGACGTAGTGGGACGAAGGAAAAAGGAGGAAAAGGACATGTTATCCATGGTAGTTGAGTGTGAAGAGACAATAACCGAATGATCTTTGAACAAATAGATGGACAGGTCATCTTCTTGTTGTTCACTTTGAACAGATTTTTAATTTCTTGAGAGAGATAAATATGCATTTCTCATTCTTTCTCTCTCTCTCTCCCTCTCATGGTCTTTACCTCTCCCATTACCTATCCCATTCAGTTTATCTCATTATATCTGACAATCTGCATCTCTCATTCTCTTGTAAAAGGACTTGAGTTGGAACTTTGAGCAGATCTTTAAGCTGAAATGCACCTGCCATAGATAAAATGAGATTTACGAAGCATTGAAAGAAGGAACAACTCAGCAGATGTGCTTGTCTGAAGGACACATCCAAAGGATTTCACTAACGATTGCTCTAAAAATGAAGAAAAAAATAGAAAACCAAGGACAAGCATGTTGTGAGATTTGAAGAAGGACGTGAGATAGTAGGCATCTCACTTGATTCATCGGCAAGTAGATGGAACAGGCGTTTTTTGGATGAAAGATTGGACATTCAGTCCGTCGGCCAGCCAGCTAACCAGCCAGCCAGACAGCAGTTGTCCTAATACGGCGAAATTTAAGAAAAAAAAAGAAACAATTTGTTGGAGAATCGTACATGCTTCATGAGTGGATGAATTTGAATGAAACGATGATCGATGAGATGAAGAGCGGTAGATGGACGAAGGTAGGACTGGCTTTGAAGAGGAAAAAAGAAAAAGAGAGCTGATGAAGCAAAGGCAGATGGAATGAGAGATTCGGATAAAAAGTTATATTTCTTTGTGATAAAGAATAATTGAGTATGAAATTGCTTATTTCCATATTTGAACAACGATCATACGACTAAAGAGATAAAGAGAGATCAATGATATACTTCAAGGAGAGTGAGAGAGATACACAGAGATAGATAGATAGAGAGAGAGAGAGAGAGAGAGAAAGGGGTGGGCAGACTAAGCTTGAATATTCAAAGAGCTTTAAGAAGAAAAGGACATGATTACAGTAGATTTGAGAAGTCAAATGAAGGGATAAGAAGTCTAATATTCACTTTAAGCAATGGACGAACATAGAAAGTGGGGACTGAATATGCCTTGAGGCAATCATTCCCTCTTTCTCTACTTTCATCTTGATGAGAAGAATGGCAACGAAGTGAGAATGCTTCATCCATTAGAAAGAGAAATAATCTTCTTTGCGAGTTGCGGCTGCTGATGCGCAGAGGAAAAAGCTCGACGACGTCCTTTTCTTCGGCTAAGTTTCCGAAATGCCGGAAAAGCTGAGTGGAGGCGTCAAGCTGAAAGGACATGAAAGCTAACTTTGGTCAATTCTATGCAACAGCCGGCTTATATAATTGGCCTTGTTAAGATGGCTGTAGCAGGTGCTTGAAGTGGATGTCATCTGATTATTAATATCAACCGCTATAAATGAAATAAAGCCCATCGATCAAAGTATAGCATACATGTCCTTGTATGTGCTCGATAATATCATTTAATATATAATTTTACATTAAAATTATATACAAATTACAAGTGGAGAGGGGAAAGAGCATAACTCAGAATCCGTGGGGGTGTGTGTGTAGTATGGCTATGCCTCACTCACATAATGATCTTTGATCACTTGAAGTACATCTAACTGGCTTTATGTTCTTTCTAGCTTCTCACTTGATATCTTTCTCTCTTCCTCTTTATAACTTCCTACTCCTCTACTCCTAACATCACATCTCTCTCTCTCTCTCTCTATCTCTCCATCCATCTCTATGTGTTTGTGTGTATGTATGTGTCCCTCTCTACTAAAGATTGTCCACTTTCATACTTTCATAGACATGGATGCTGCCCTTTGCAACTGCTCTCTAACCTCTCCTTTCGTCACATCTTCACATGAAATATGTGTTCTGAGATTATGAAAAAAAGATATATTATAGTTAAGACAATCTATAATTTATGGGAAAAGCGTAAGAAGGCGAGAAAAGGAACTTATGAATGAATCATTGTTCTTAACTATACGTATAGCCTGCTTTCATCGTATAATTGGAGTGAAAGAAGGGAGATATAGAGAGAGGTGGGAGTAGTAAAGAAGAGAGAGAGAGAGACTCAGTTCTTCTTCCTCCTACTCCTCTACTCAGATTTCTTTGGATATTCTCTCTCTCCCTCTATATATCCCCCCTCTCTCTCTCTCTCTCAATCCTATCTCATGTGATCTCAAAGAGATTATAAGTATCACCTTAATATCCATAAATAGCAAAAGTCTTGGCAGTTGTTCATATATTATTCGCAATAGTTAACTATTCTATTTTAATAATTATAATCAAAGGGAAATAGCCTTTCATTCAGAACTATCAATTCGATTATAAAGTTCACCAAAGAACATTATTGATCCTTGAATGAATTCATAATTAACTATATACATATACTATACTATATAGTATATAGTTATGAGAGAGGCACACAGACATTCAGAGCACACCACACAGATTTCAAACACATTTTTGAACTTTTTTTTTCTCCGAAAATCTAGTTTCCTTGTCAATTTATATCAATTTTACACTAAATTGATGGCGAGAGTTTATAGGAGAAAAAAAAATATTTTTAAACGTTGTGAACAACCGCTTCTCTGCGTCGCATCTGGAAGAATGAATATTGCGTGCGTGACTCACACGTGAATTCACGTGAAAAGTGCATACACAAAGAGGCTATTAAGATTCGAATGAAAGAGCAGAACAAAGATAATATGTTGAAACAATATATTTTTCGTTTTGATATAGAACATGAACTAAGCATACATGAGCTAACTATATGATATAAGGTTAAGATTGATGATGTTTGATGTGGCGGTCGAAAAGATGATGAGTTGACCATTCATTTGATTTGTTAAGCAGATATTGATAGACAACACTAATGATCATATTCCTTATAAGATGGTCAATGGAAGAAGACGTACTAACACTCTCACTAGTTGATTTACTCTATTACTAGAGAGGGAGAAGGCGACTATCAATAACAGAATATGAATCAAATGAATAGTGGTTACATACACTTTCTTCGGCTAACATGGACCTTAGCAGAGGCGTAACTGCCCTCTTTTCCTCTCTTTCTCTTTATTAGTCTGCTAGCCTGAAGGCAAAATATAAAAAAATGTTGAAATATAAGGAGAGTCGAAGAAACGACAGACGCATAGACGATTGGTTGACGCCCCGCTTGTACATTTCGGCGATGCACTTGGTTTGCCCTTTGCATTTGCTGAAATGGGGTGGAGGTGATACTGGTTAGATGAGATGAAAAAGAAGCAACTCTCTCCAACTTAATCCCAGAAGCCCAATTCCAATAGTAAGCTGAAGAGAGATGAAATAGAGATAGATGTCATCGAAACAAGTGTCGATGCCAATGAAAATGGATGAATGCAGGGGGCTAACATACAAAGCTTTTAAGTACGTATATAACTATTTATATCATATAGTATATTCATCCCACTAACCATTTCAAGATTTCTGTCCTTACACACTTCTTCTCTCCAACATCATCTTCTTTGCCCCCCCCACCTCTCTTCTTCCACTTTTTTTTTGTGATAAGGGGAATTCGTTGACGGTTAAAAGCTCCGATCACGGGTTGCCTGCCGGCTATATCAGGAAATAGATTAGAAAATTGTTTGATGGTTCTCCATATTATTCAATGCCCTAGGGAGGGACCATTGACATGTTCGGTTAGCAGAGAGGGGGGAGGAGAATGCTGGTGATGAAAGAAGCTTGTAGATATGTAACACCTTATTAGGACCAATCGTATAGCATAAGGTCAAAACCGGACATTGTTCGTGTTTTGTCCTTTTTTTGTACTTTACATCCATATTTGGATGAATTAAGAAAGAGCGAGAGAGAAAGAGAGTGAGAGAGAGAGAGAGCGCAGAAGAGATTTTCGCAATTGAAAGAATGATAATTCCTTTGATCTTATCTGAATGTGTTTATGACATTTAAGTAAGGATTTTGATTCTATTGAAATCTTCAATCTGAAAGGATATTTACGCCTCAAGGCATAAGAATAGCTTAATATGTGATTTGGATGGACCTTTCATCCGCTTGTAGCAAAGACCGAAGAGCAAGAGCTTATGAACTTAATGATATAGAGGAAAAGCTGTTTCAAATGATTATTGACTTGATTTAACGGACATAATGATGATGTTGATGTTGATGAACATCCGATGACGACATCATCGAGGCCATCCCCTATACAAGAGACAAAGACAAGTTCGGAGAGCGAGGACCATACAAGAGAAAGAAAGAGATTGTCCTTTTTCAAAAAAAGAAATGGAACAACAACATGATCTTCATCATCAGAGCTCAGATCATTTTTTTTCGGAGAAAGGAAAGGGGGAGAAGGAAAGGTGTTTGATGTCTAAAGTCTACTACACACACACACACACATACATACACGGACACAAAGCAACTGCAGCAGCAGCAGCAGCTCTATAATGGGGAAGGACACGTGAAACGGGCAAACGACTTCTACATGACTCCATAGCCATCATTTATTAATATATGCTTGTGTTAGATATTCTAATAACCTTATAGTTGATGACTTATTCCATGTAATGTATGATTGATTACGTATAGTTAAAGCCAGCCACTAACTATTCATTTTTCTTGCACTTATTCTTTCGTATTCGCTTCATTGAATTCAAAAGACCTTTTGCGAAAGAAAAAAAGTGACGCAAATGCACTTTGCGATGCGAAGAGGCCGATCGGTCAAGTGACGTGTCAAGCTGCATCAAGAGGACTGAACATTTCCATAAAAGGATGCCCTCGAGCAGAAACTAATCAATCCAATTAATAATTTGTAATTAGATATATATATAAGGCATTTATGGTAGCTATGATATTACCTATTATAAATGAAAATTGGATGAAATTTGAATAGACGAATTTGATCTCGAATATCATCACTCTCTCTCTATCTCTATCTCTCTCATTCCCTTCTACTCTCTCCATGCTATTACCTCTCTACGTACGTGCATTGTCTAAAGAATCCTTTTATAGACTGTTGATAAGTTAATGAAAAGTGGTAAACACATATGGACAGCTGATGATCTCTTACCAGCCTTCACGTATGTTTCACATACTTCATACACCTTTATCGTTTCATCTTCATTCTAGCTATGTCGTTGTACGTTCACAGATACGTCATCTGGGCACTGAAATTCTGTTAATTGACAACTTCAGTCGAGATTTTCGTGGTTCAGGCGAAATATCCATGATGTTTACTATGTTGCAAAGCAGTTATCACATCATTTGTAATGAAAAAAATAGAATTTAAAAGTTTCACGTCAATTTTACGTGAGAATATTCTAATTGTGTTTTAAGAAGCTCACATAGTATTGACGTGAGACAAGAAGCAACATGTGATTGTTCAGATGAAATAGCAGAGAGATAACAAACGGTTGTATATATTTATATATTCATATATATATATATATTTAAGAGAAATAAAAATTATAATTTAGAGTTCAAAACAATCCATACATTGAGCTCCTCGCCAGCTTAAGCAATCTTTGCATCTTCTGAGAAAACTCTTAAGAGAGAGAATTAGAAAGAGGAAAGATTAGAAGAATAATTAACTTGTCCTTTGATGGCATCGCAATACCAATGACATTCAGCCATCCATTCTTTGCATAAAGTTTGGAAACATTGTTTGATCATGTTGTCCAACTGAACAAGAGAAGCTATCTTGCATGCTTCATACAACTAACTTACTTCGGATACAGCTTGAACTCCGGTAGGAGGAATGTTATATGCATAAGTGCATACTATACATATAATAAGGAATGGGAAGAGAAATCGAGTCAGGATCATGATTTCATTCAAATGATTCTATTCGCCTAATATTCTTATCAACTATACGTATAGTTAAGATATCAATCATATTATTATTTATATTTGGAACGATCCCATTACGATAACAACGTTCATCAAAAATAGATTTCATCGACCAGCTAGCTTAAGTAAGGCAGCATATCCATATGGTATACATCTATAATCAGTTTTACTTGTTCCAACTTCAATCACATCAACCTGTCATACCGACAATCGTGTACTGGAACGGATTCGGAAATTGAGAAATCCTTACATCCTCCTTTGCAGAGGCCGAAGTTATCAACACACTTCTGACGGAAAAGATGATATGAACATCCGGAATTCTGAAAAGTAAGAGGAAAATGAAAATATTTTTGTTATTCGAAAAGGTCAGCTCCTTACATGGAAGTTATCTTTGTCATTGATAAGCGAGAGATAATCTGCATTCTGAAGTAGAGATGATGGCGGGATTTTAGGACGTAACAGATGAACTGAAGCATGGACAATCATCTAATCACACAAAGAATCTTCTCTTCTAATACCAAATTTATTTTGTTTTGAATTGCTTTCTTCATAAGCTCCATCTTCATCACGAAATTCATTGCTGGCAGAATCATCTTTCATTTCGCGTCGAAATGAAGGCCTGTTGCCATATATGGATAATGGCAGATTTGGTGTTAACATTGGATTAGGATACATCATCTGCTGAGGGATGTTTGTAATGTAATATCTGTAAGGATTCATAACTGCAAATGCGGAAGATGAGAGAGAATGAAAGAAAGGCATCACCTGGAAGTGGATTATCATATGGGACGTAAGAGATGGGATAGAAGACTTGAGCTTCACATACACTTATAAGGAGAACGAGTAAACACATTGCAGAAACGTTTCAACAACCACAATTCCTCTTCTGATGATGTAACGAAACGAAAAACTAGAGCGAGGACAAACGTGATTGAAACAAACTTCACAAGTACTACTTAACATCTAATCATGCATATCTCGGAGTGCATGAACTATCTTCCGACAATATCAACTCAAAACGTTTTGGTTTGAAGGAACATAACTTCATCTTGTCTACGAGTAAACCACAAGCACAATCCATGAGTGTTCGTAACAAGATGTATCTCTAACCCAACTTCCATATCTTCGAACAGTTTGCGAATCTCGTGATCCCCAGATGAAATATGAAGAAGGAGCTTTGGCTGAAAATACCAGGTGGTTCCTGATAGATGATAGTTCAAATGGTTTGCCACTTTGCCTACGCAAGACATATACAAGACCTCGTTACACAGAAACTTACATCAATCAGACTACTCCATAGTCACATGTGCCCTTGCCTAAGGTTTCGTCCCGAATTGGGTCTCGCGAGGATGAAGGACTGTTCGGCAGGAGAATTGAATGAAGAATTTGTAGATATTCAAGACCATATCCTCGAGTAAATGAAATTAACATATTCATCCAAATGTCTGAGAAAAATGTTCTCAGCTGAACCAGATAGTAGTTTGGTCTAGATTGTACTGGAGTTAGACGTTATGAAAGATGGAATCTACAGTTAGCAATTCTGAAAAATCAATCCAATGCCAAATAAAGTTGCTTCTATCCCCACACCATAGTCCCCACTCAACTTTTTCTGACAATGAGATTAAGACTAAGAACAGATCAGAGACCTCAATACTTCAGTATGAGGTACAGAGAGGGTGCTCCGGAGTGTTAGAGAAGCAGAATACGGTCTTGCTCACGCCTAATCACGTACGCAATGTTTCAAAAAATTGATTATCTAATCATTTTTCAGATTTTCTATGTGTTACTGCTTCTGCTAGTATGTTCTTCGATGTTTTCTATTCTGATAGGTAAGAGTTGAAGTTGATTTGCCTTGTTTCAGACATCTCTATTCGTATTACAGTCGAGAAACTGACCATTATCTGTCTCTTTGAGCTCCTTGCGGAATCATTCTGGTAATCCTTGCTCATCATAATC